GTAATTAATTAGAAACTAGGTGTGACCAGTTGTAGTTTAAATTAATTGCTATTTTTAAGTTAGAGTATAGAGACAACCCCAGATAGAGAACCTGACAGAGCCGGACTCTTGATAGAGCCGGGCTCTTTATAGAGTCGGACTCTTTATAGAGCCGGACTCTTGACAGAGCTGAATTTTGATAGAGCCCGACTCTTGATAGAGCCGGACTCTTGGTGGAGCCGGACTCTTGAAAGAGCCGGAATTTTTTGTAGAGCCGGACTCTTGATAGGAGGAGTCAAGAAATTGTTTCAATAATTTTATATTACTTCTATTTTATTGTTCTACATAGAGCCACACGGATAGTCTGGTAGAGCTGGACTCTACCTTATTTTAATTTTGACTAGTTTTATTTTATAGTGACACAGACCCCCCTTTACAGGGTCTAACAAATATTTACATACAAACCCCCCTTTACAGGGTTTCACACAGGGACATAGGTGACACAGACCCCCCTTTACAGGGTCTAACAAAAGATTTTACACACAGACCCCCTTTTACAAGGTTTTACAAAGAGACAACGTTCCCCGATTACACAACCTACACAAACACCGTACTCATACACACACACACAAACCATGTATCGCACACCCACTACCTCTGGCGCTGCCAAAAAGCCCACCACCCCCAGCCCTGCCACCACAACAGCAGCAGTACAGGATGCTGCTAGAACTTTTATTAAGAGACCGGAAGCTAAAAGAAGATCGCTCGACAATATGGATATTTATAAAAGACAAAAAGACAACTACGCTGCATTGTCGAGCGATCAGCTCCTCCAGGAGATGATGAAAACCTTTGAGGATATACCCTCAAAGGTACAGGAGTACCCTCAGATGAGGAAGGACATCAAACATTTCCTGGAGGTGCAGTCCGACAAGGGCATAAGAACAATATTCGAGCTTAGCAGAAGAATACAAAGTCTCGAAGCAGAGGCCTTAAAAATAAGATCACCGGAAAAAACCTTGTCGTCCAAAGGGCTTGAAAACATCATGGAGAAACTGGGGGAGGTGGAGGACTCATTGTTAGGGCGTATGAAAGAAATGGAGGAAAGTCTCAAAGCAGACATTGAGGGACTTTCAAACGCAAACGACGACCGAGGCTCTGACATGATCGACAAGATCATCGATAGGATTGATGAAACCAGGGCTGCCATAGACGAAACTACCGAAAAGGTCGAGAGTCGAACGCATGCTCTGGTTAAAGATCTTATCGGTGGTATTGTCGATGATGTCATCGCAGCCAAAAAAGACCTCATGGAGGTCACAAAAGGACTGGTATGTGAAATAAACACAGCACCGGTCCTTAAATCATATGCTAGCGTCGTAGCAACAAAACCAGCTCATCGCCCTGCATTGCACTCTATGGCGGTCACCTTCGAAGGTGGTCTGGAGACTGCTGACGAGGTGCTCGCCAGAGTGAAAAAAGCGGTCGACGCCAGGGGTACTGGCCTTAAAATCAACAAGGTTCGCAAAGCCAAAAATCAAAAAATTATTTTGGGGTGTGACACCGAAGACGAGAGGAAAAAAGTTCAGCAAAGAATTGAGAGTCGCGAGGATGGACTCATAGTAGAGCCCATAAAAAAACAAAGATCCTCTCGTCATCCTGAAAGATGTCATTATAGATAGTGAGGATGAAGATACAATTAAGGCGCTTCACGCCCAAAACAAAGATGTTTTCTTTGGCCTAAATGAAAAGGATATGGAGATGACTGTAAAATACAAAAAAACGGACAAGAAATCCGAGGACAGTCCACATCGTTCTACAGGTTAAGCCTAACGTGTGGCAGAGGATGACGGAGGCTGGAGCCCTCTATCTGGACCTTCAAAGGGTCAGAGTGGAGGACCAGTCCCCGCTCATCCAATGCACGAGATGCTTAGCGTTTGGACATGGTCGGAAATTTTGCACCGAGAGTGTGGACAAATGTAGCCACTGTGGAGGACCGCATCTCCGCGAGAAATGCGCAGACTTTTCCGCAGGGAATGAACCACAGTGCTGCAACTGCTCACACTCTGGGTTGCGGAGGACCGACCACAACGCATTTAGTGCTGACTGCCCGGTACGAAAAAAATGGGACTATTTGGCCCGTGCAAACACGGCCTATGCATGAACCATTTGCACCAAACTACACTACACGTACAAACAGACACAAAGCATACAGGAACACAAACACGACACACACAAACATGAAATACACGACAAATGAACACAAACTGATATACAGAATGTATATTGAATATACACGATTGTATCAGCACAGTAACACTTACATGAATCACAAACACAAATACAAACAAATAAAAAGATGAAATAAATCTAGCAAAAGAAACGGACAATATATATATATATAAACTTTGTATATATATTTTATTGCCTAGGAAATGTGACTAAAATATAAAAGGGAGTAGAAAATCAGACACAAGACAATTCACCAATCCTGTTGTATCCAAATTGTTAATTGCAAATGTTTAAAATAAATGGATATAATTTCTTACTGCTGTACAGATAATAAATATTAGAATAGAATTAAGAAATGGCAATGAAATGTTAGAAATAAGAAGTAGTAATTAAGAAATAATGATAAGTACAATAGTTGTAAGTCAAAAAATATGTAACTAAGTAAATTTGTAAGTAAATAAAATAAGTTTGTAGTATGTAGTGTAGTAATAGGAAAGCATAAATATTGTATGTGTAAAGCGCAAGTACCAGAAATAAATAAAATGTACGAAACTTTATTTCCCAGAGAAAGAAAAATTAGGCATAGGGTAGCGGGAGTCCCACCCGGCAAAGAATGAATGTGGATGTATAAAAGAAAGAATAAGTATGCGGCCTGAAAGTGCGAATACATGCGAGAACTGGTATGTATGAGCAATATAGAATAATAAGGACCCGATGATCCCATGATCGGGGAAAAGCGATTAAAAACAAAAAAAAAAAACCTAACCTAACCTAACCTAACCTAACCTAACCTAACCTAGCCTAACCTAACCTAACCTAACCTAACCTAACCTAACCTAACCTAACCTAACCTAACCTAACCTAACCTAACCTAACCTAACCTAACCTAACCTAACCTAACCTAACCTAACCTAACCTAACCTAACCTAACCTAACCTAACCTAACCTAACCTAACCTAACCTAACCTAACCTAACCTAACCTAACCTAACCTAACCTAACCTAACCTAACCTAACCTAACCTAACCTAACCTAACCTAACCTAACCTAACCTAACCTAACCTAACCTAACCTAACCTAACCTAACCTAACCTAACCTAACCTAACCTAACCTAACCTAACCTAACCTAACCTAACCTAACCTAACCTAACCTAACCTAACCTAACCTAACCACTCATGGAAAGATCCTCGGATTGATGATATTGCCAATAACATGTCAAATATTAAAGATACAATCCGTAATCTGCAAACACAAGTCATAAATCTGACATCTCCACAGTCAACAGCTATGGATAGTACATCAACAGCCATAGAACCAGTCTTATGTAAATTAGACAAAATCACTGAGGACATAAAGGAAATAAGAGACTACGGAGTAAGCCAAAGTGCGTTTCAGAATAACGCAGGTTTGGGTGCGGAGCTGGCAATTGCAGAAATCAGAGACAAGCTTAATCATCTAGAGACATATAACTGTAGCACCATAACAAACCAAATAATGGAAAGTCCCAAAAATGTCCCAATAAAAGAACAACAAGCCACTCGCCCAATAAAATCTTATGCAGAAGCACTTACTTCACCACGGTTTGCTCTTGTTGTTGAATCTTCGGATCCCAGACATACAAGCGAAGATGTTGTTAACACTATAAAGAGCAACATCGATGTGGTACAACTTGGAGTAGGTATTAACAATATAAGAAGGGTTAGAAATCAGAGGGTGCTTCTCTCATGCGACAATGACGAGGACCGGCAAAAGCTTCAAAATGCAATAAAAAACTCGAATCAGAAGCTTACGGTCTCAAAGTCAACAGCTAAAAACCCACTAATTAAATTAATAGGAGTAGCTAATGATCTAAACAATATAAAACTAGAAGAGGCATTAGTTAACCAAAACATGAAGCTCCTAAAACACATCGAAATAGAAAAGATTAAGACTAAGGTCTTGAGACGAATTAAGGGGAGAACAGCGGCAATTAACAATATAATATTGGAAGTAAGCCCTGAGGTATGGAAGGCACTGAAAGACCAAAGACTGCATGTGGGATACCAAGTGGTACCCGCCCTGGACCAATCTCCTGTTGTGCAATGCTACCGATGTATGGGATTTGGACATAGGGCTAGAGAGTGTTGGGCAGATAAATCAACCTGCGGGTATTGCGCAGAGGACCATGACAGCAGAGAATGTCCACGCAGTAATGGAGCACCAACTTGCGCCAACTGCACTAAAAACAAAATTGTGGGTGATCACAGTCATGTAGCATACAGCAATGAATGTCCAGTGTGGCAGAAGTGGGATCGCATAGCCAGGTCCTCGGTAGCATATTGCTAAGATTGATCAGGGTATTAACATCGAGCAATTACGGTTAAGTACACACTCCTCTGCTGATAATGCACCAAATTCAAACTCAGCGGATACACTAACTACCAAATTAGTACAGGTAAATCTTGGCCGAGGAATGGCAGCGTTTAAGGAATGTCTTCACATGGCAATAAGACAACGCGTTGCGTTGCTTCTACTCCAAGAACCGTATGTAGGTGCAAAAGCACATGTAACTTGTAATCGTCGCGTAATTCAAAAGACTACCAGTAATAGAGACAAACCGGTTAAATCGGCAGTCATCGTTGTTGATCCAACCTACTTAATCATAGAAAATCCAGAGCATGTTAGCGAAAATATTGTAGGATTCATAGTTAAAATAGGAAAACTTGTTGTAGGCATTATAAATGTGTATTTAGAGAAAGACGGTAACATAGAAGATGATATAAGGAAGATAACAAGAATAGTGCAAGATATGGACACGGAAAACATCATTCTAACAGGCGACTTTAATGCAAGGAGTCTCTGGTGGGGGAGCAGAGCTGAGGACGAGAGGGGTTTACTTTTATCGGAAATGATAGCTGAACTGGATATGAATGTCTTAAATCAGGGCAGTGACTCCACCTTTTACCAATACCGAGGAGGAAAGTTACATAGCAGCATAGTTGACGTGACCTGTTGTACGTCGGCAATCCTACATAAGATGGAAAGATGGAGGGTGGACCCCGATTTTGTCACACTATCTGATCATCGAGCCATACAGTTTCAAATGATAATTAATATCGACAAACAGAACGTCGTGCTAAGGAATTCCACTCGATTATTTAATACAGCTAAGGCAAACTGGTCTCTCTTCAGAAACGACCTGAAAGAAAGATTAGAAAAGGAGAACGTAACAGAGGATAAAATAAAAACCATACAAACACCAGAGGAGTTGGATGATATCGTAGACACATATGTCAAACAAGTAAAATTAGCATGCCAGAAATCAATACCAACTATATCTAAAAATGTCTATAAAACTTGTACACCTTGGTGGAATGCACAGTTAGAAACAGAACGACGTAAAGTTATACGACTTAGAAGAAAGATAAAGTTTGCCAATACAAGACGTAAACCGCACGTTATTCAGGATTTCGTGGAGGCAAAAGAAAAGTATGTTAATAATATAATGTCAGCAATAACCACTAGTTGGAAAGAACTATGCACTAAACAAGAAAAAGAAACTGTATGGCAAAGTATATACAGAATAATTAAAAGGTGTAGTGTAACTAATGAAGACAAACTGCTGAAATTAGGCGATGAAATTCTCACCGCAAATGACTCTGCTATGTTATTGGCAAAAAATTTCTACCCAGATGATGAGAAAAACAAAGACACTGAAGAACAAACCAAAATTCGAGAAGAAGCGGACAAAATCACTAATGAACTAAGAAAAAACTCGATCATTTCCCATCGTAATTTTACAGAGATAGAAATAGAAGCTGTTTTAGATAAAATGGATCCTAAAAAAGCACCCGGAGAGGATGGCATCACCTCAGATATATGCTATCAGTCTTATAAGACCATACCTTCAGCACTAATGGCTATCTATAATAAGAGTCTCGAAATAGGTTATTTCCCTAAAACCTGGAAAAAAGCTATAATAAAAATTATTCCAAAACCTAACAGAGAGGACTACACAGTACCCAAAGCCTACCGTCCTATTGGCTTACTTCCAATATTCGGAAAGATATTAGAGAAACTTTTTGTAACCAGGCTTCTTTGGCAATTGGGTAAAGAAGGTAAACTTAACAGCCGACAATACGGATTTATGCCGCAACGTAGTACGGAAGACGCCTTGTACGATGCAATGTCTTTTATAAAACAGGGGCTCAAGGAAAAAAAGGTTGTTGTGGTGGTATCCCTGGATATAGAAGGGGCATTTGACAATGCATGGTGGCCTCAAATAATAAAAGAAATGCATAGAAAACAAGTGAGCCAAGATATTCTGAGATTGATTACCAGTTACCTTTCTTCGAGATATATATCGTTAAAATATGCAGGTGCAGTAGTAACTAAATCCACCACTAAGGGGTGTATTCAGGGATCAACCTGTGGGCCTATATTTTGGAATATTCTCTTGGATCCACTCCTCGAAATTACATCACATCTGAAAGTACACGTTCAGGCTTTTGCCGACGACATACTCGTCATTGCAAAGGGTCACTCAGCAAAATCCATTGAGGAAGAACTGAACCCAGCCTTGGATCAAATAGTTGCATGGGGTAAAGCCCGTAAGTTAAAATTTGCACCACAGAAAACACAAGCAGTTATAATAACTAAAAAACTGTCTCCAGAACTACCGCAAGTAAGAATGGATAATGTTTATGTTCAACCATCAGCGAGTCTAAAAGTACTTGGAGTCACAATTGACAAAAATTTAAGATTCACAGAACACATTGATGAAGCTCTTAGGAAAGCTATCAATTTATATAAAAAAGTGACTAGAACAGCAAAAGCACAATGGGGACTAAACTCCGAAATAATAAATACTATTTACATAGCGGTAGTAGAACCTACGATCCTTTACGCGGCAAGTGTTTGGGCTGCAACGGTGAAGAAAGAATATGTGAAGAAGAAACTTGACCGTATCACAAGAATGTTTGCTATCACGATCTGTAAAGGACATAGAACAGTCTCCTTTACTTCCAGTGTTCTACTAGCGGGAATATTTCCTCTGGACCTTAGAGCAACAGAACATCTAAAACTGTATGAAATAAGACGAGGGAAGCCCCTAACCCAACTTCCAGGAAGAATTTGCGAAAAACCAGAGAATCCATTTTACCTACCACATCCAGGCGATAGGCATCGTATACCTTTTGAGATTATTACCTCTGAGGAAGAAGAAAGTTTGATTGACTCCCAAACAACAAAATTATACACTGATGAAAGTAAGATTCAAGGTAAAGTTGGAGGAGCTGTGACAATTTGGAAGAACAATCAGGAAATACGAAAATCGACCTTTAGGCTGGAAAATTACTGTAGTGTTTACCAAGCCGAGCTCGCAGCAATTTTAAGAGCACTAGATCTGATGCACAAACATAAAGACCTAAAGAAAGGCATCATCCTAAGCGACTCACGCTCTGCCTTAGAATGCCTGAGTAACACATCATCTCTGCACCCATTAGCTGTGAAAATACGGGATCGAATAGAGTCACTATTAGACAAAGGTGGCGAAGTTAAACTTTGCTGGATTAAAGCACACATCGGCTTAGCCGGTAATGAGAGAGCCGATGAACTTGCGAAAAAAGCCGCACTTTCTAACAAGCAAACTCCAGCTTACGATAGATTCCCCCTGTCTTTCGCGAAGCGACTTGCCAGGGACTCTACTTGCATGGAGTGGCAGCTACGATATAGTGCAGCAACAACGGGAGCTGTAACAAAGAAATTTCTACCGGACATAAAAGAAGCGTATAGAACACTCAAGCATATAAAAATAGACAATCTCAAAGTACAATTACTAACTGGACATGGAGGTTTTAAGGCTTGTTTATATAAATATAAGCTAGCGCAGTCGCCATCTTGTGTTTGCAGTAAAGACGAAGAAGAAAATATCGAACATCTAATAATTGACTGTCCTAGATTCGCCATACAACGACTTGACTGTGAACAAAAGATGGGGATGGCACTTACTATTAATAATTTAAGAAATGCAATTAACAACGATGACTGTCGGACCCATTTCCTTAAGTTTTCAGAAGCTGTTGTACGCTCTGCGGGTAAGGCAAATGGATCCAAACTAGTATAAGCTAGAATATAAGTTGATAAGCATTATAAAGATAAAACAACCAAATGTACCATAATGATAGTGTAATGTATAATGTAAATTAAAATTATTCTGAAAAAAAAAATGCTTATAAGATTGTAGAAATTATTATAAGATATTGGATGGCGCACAAAATAACTTGAATTAACAGAACATCTCTATATGCTATACACTATATTTTTTTATATATTGTATAAAATATTGATGTATAGTAGTAAAATTTAAACAAATTTATCAATAGTTTTAAGCATTACAAATGTAAGAGATAATGAGAGTTAAAAAAAAAATAAATAAATAAAAATAAAAAAAAGGAAAAGATAATATGCAATGTAACACTGAATAGTCAAAATTGTATTACAGTTAAATGATATGTCAATAAAGAATGTTTAGTTAGTAGAAAAAAAAAAAAAAAAAAAAAAAAAAAAAAAAAAAAAAAAAAAACACAGTTTTAACATACTTTGGATAAAGCCAATAGTAATAAAGGATGCTGCATGTATAGCAGCAGTATAAATAAATAAAAAAATAAAAAAAAAAAAAAAAAAAAAAAAAAAAAAAACCTAACCTAACCTAACCTAACCTAACCTAACCTAACCTAACCTAACCTAACCTAACCTAACCTAACCTAACCTAACCTAACCTAACCTAACCTAACCTAACCTAACCTAACCTAACCTAACCTAACCTAACCTAACCTAACCTAACCTAACCTAACCTAACCTAACCTAACCTAACCTAACCTAACCTAACCTAACCTAACCTAACCTAACCTAACCTAACCTAACCTAACCTAACCTAACCTAACCTAACCTAACCTAACCTAACCGAACTATAAATTTGCTAATAACTTTCCCAAAAATTGTAAAAACAACCAGTTCGGACAAGAATCGATTTTCGAACCACTCAGTTTTCACTACCTAAGTTGTCTTGTATCATACAAATGTCAACTTCGAAAAATATTTGTTCTGAACATAGCCAAGAATCGATCCTTTCGACTACCCGGGTTGAAGATCCCACCAATATCACTGACGACGATTACGAAGTGGCACGATCCGATTCAGGTTCCAATTTTAACGAAGGATACCTTTCAAAAATTATAGAAAATATAAATTTTATTCAGCAAAATTTAGACGGTAATAGAAGCGTTACGCGCCAGAATAAAGATAACATAAAGAAATCGCTTGATGAAATTAATCGTAGCTCTCAACAGTTGTTCGATCAGGTAAAAACTATTTTACGCCACTCTATCTCATCAGCTGAAAACAAAACCGTTTCCATCATAAGGAACACTATCAAGGAAGAACTCTCTAAATTTACCCAAAAACCTCAACAACACTTCACACAGCCATTGCAACATCCTCTTCGACAAATTCCAGCCACAAAATCTCCGCAATCTTATGCAAACGCTGTAAAATCCATTACGCATTCAAAGCGACCTATTCCTACAACAAAACCGGCCATCATTGTTAGTGCAAAGCAGCCAGTTTCCTCCCCACAAGAAACCGTTAGTGCGTGGAGGAAAAGTATCCACTTTAAACATTATACATTTAGCCCTGCTGAGGTCAAACAAGTCTCTAATAACAAACTTCGGGTAGAATTTGACACTCAGGAACAAAGAGACAAAATTATTGAAGCCATAAATTGTCCCGAAAGTTTGGTCAACGCTGACATTGCCAAAAAGTTAAAGCCTATGTTAATATTAAAGGGCATTCATATCGACACACCTGTGACTGAGCTTAAGGACATTATCATCAATCAGAATCCCACCATAAAAAATCTCGTTAAGACACCTGACGATATATCCTACCGTTTTATGCGCAATAATAAAAACAAAAAACTTTATAACACAGTTTTCATGGTCACCCCGCAAATCTGGAGAACGGCGGTAGAACTTCAAAAACTAAATATTGACCATCAAAGAGTACACGTAGAAGACCACCCCGCGTACCTTCAGTGTTACAAGTGCTTACTATTCGGTCACACCAAAAAACACTGCCCAGAAGATAAATTACATTGCTCTCACTGCTCGTCATCCGGCCACTCCTACAAAGACTGTCCGGACAAAAAAGAAGTTTCCAAAATCGATTGTTATAACTGCATAGCACACAATAAAAAATATAATCTGAATCTAAACACTAAGCATAGTGCTACATCTTTGCGTTGTCCTCGTATACAAAAACAAATTGAAAGTTGCAAAAATAGAACTGACTATGGATGTTAATAATATGGCAACAAAAATGATTACAAACCACCCGCCATTAAAGTGTCTACAAATTAATCTAGACAGAGGCTACATAGCAACACAGGAAGCGCTTAAATACATTAATGACACCCAAATTGATATAGTATTTATTAGCGAACCATACGTTGGAAAAAACGCTTATATGAAACCTTGTCCTAACTATAATATTTACCAATTCCCAACAGATCGTCACGTAAAAGCATGTATGCTCATAAGGCATAACATTGGATGTACACTTGGAATGTCCGAATATTCTACGTCAAACCTTTGTATAGTAGAAATAAAAATCCGCGGTAAGAAAATATACTTGATTAGTGCGTATGTCGAACCAAGAAACGATGAAATTAATACCCTCAATTCATTAGAAATGTTTTTACAAAAGAATTCACACTGTATCCACATTATTGGTGGAGACTTCAATGGTTGGCATCCTTTGTGGGGTTCACCTCGAGCCAACCGACGAGGAAATAGCATCGTAGATCTTATCACAACTAATAATCTCATTATTTGTAATTCTGGTAGTCATCCAACTTTTGAAACTATAACTCATGGCATACATCGGGAATCGATTATTGATCTCACGCTCACACTCAACTCGCCACCAAATCAAGTACTAAACTGGAAAATTACCAAAGACCCAAGTCCATCATCAAGTCATAATGGTATCATCTTTGATTTACACATAAATAAAAACTCTTTAATTAAAGCAAAGAAACTTTCAACCTACAAATATAACACGAAAAACATAAAATGGGACCAGATAAAAGATGTATTTAAAAAAGAAATTTGCGAACACTTAAACTTAAATATTAATATTGAACAATTAAATTCTTCAGAGCTCGAAAATTACGTGTCAAAATTAACTTTAGCTATACAAAATGTCTGCAAGAAGTTATTTTCACAAAAATGCAATTTCACACAGAGAGCCCAATGGTGGAGTGATAAACTAGAGGAGTTAAAACAAAAAGTATTAAAGAATCATCACAAACTACAGAAATTAAAACGCGGCAAAAAAATCCCTGACGGAGGCATTAATTGAAAAGGAATCACTAAAAAATGAATATTCACAAGCAATCAGTGCTGCATCTACAGAACACTTCAGAGAATTTTGTAACAAGCAAGGAAAGGAGGACGTTTGGAGTGTTACGAACAGGTTGCTTAAAACAACACCTTTATACTATTTACCTCCTTCAACCCTCAAAAATAAATCTGGACATTACACCTGTACTACCCAAGAGACCGCTGAAACTTTTCTTAAGGAATATTTCCCTGAAGATGAACCCGACACAGATCCACGGCACATTAAAATAAGAAAACTCTCCGAAAAAATACCAGAAACACCACCAGAGCCCTTATTCACAACAGACGAAGTGCTACTTGCACTGGCTTCCATGAACCCTAATAAGGCACCAGGTCTTGACAATCTTACTGCTGATATATGTACATTTTTTACCAAATTATTCCCTTCTATTGTAACCAACCTGATGAATAGATGTCTTCAACTCGCATACATTCCAAAAGCTTGGAAAATAGCCTATATAAAAGTTATACCAAAATCCCACAAAAACGAACTAAGTACATCCTCATACAGACCTATAGGACTCATAAATGTCTTCGGTAAGGCTCTTGAAAAACTGATCGTCAAACGGCTTAAACATCACTTGTATACTACCGGCGCCATGAGCAACCTGCAATTCGGGTTTAAAGAACAAACGTCAACTGCTAATGCAATACAAAAGGCACTTGATGTAATTCAGGACGCTAAAGCCAAAAAACTACAAGTACTTGCTATATCTCTCGACATACAATCCGCATTTAATAATGCATGGTGGCCAGCAATTTTCCACAGACTTAACAATACACACTGTCCTTCTAATATTTACAAACTATTACAAAACTATGTTCAAGATCGAACGGTCAAGCTTGATTTTGCAGACAGTTCAGCTACTAGACCTATGTACCGGGGTTGCATACAAGGTTCAGTGTGCGGCCCTATGCTGTGGAATCTGATGCTAGATGAGCTACTAATGTCTGAACTACCACAGGGATGCCACCTTCAAGCTTTTGCTGATGATATTCTATTAATTACTCAATCAAAAGACATAAGAACTCTTGAAAAGATTACTGAGGATGCACTCACTAAAATAGTTAATTGGGGAAATAGTATCAAACTTAAATTTGGCCCACAAAAAACACAGATTATATCGTTCACCAATAAAGCCCGCAAGTGTCATATTACGATGAATAATCAACCGCTTCTATTTTCTCGACAAATCAAATATCTAGGGGTCATCATAGATCAAAAACTAAATTTTATTAAACACGCTGAACACACAATAAATAAAGCTTATAACCTCTTTCAAAAGCTTTCTAAATTCATAAAACCTACCTGGGGGATAAATCCCGAGAATGTCCGTATTATCTACAATGCTGTCATAGAGCCAATAATATGTTATGCTGCAAGCATCTGGCGCCCGGCACTAAAATACAAATATGTTCAAAAACGCCTGCTCTCACTGCAACGAAATTTCGCAATAAAAATTATAAGAGGTTTTCGAACCCTAAGTACTGCCACTGCTATCTCCCTAGCACAACTACCTCTATTAAATATTAAAATAGAAAATTTTGCTGATTTAGAAATAACCAAACATCAACAAACATCTAAATTCCTCCCAAATGATATACAATTGGAAATTCCTGCTACACCAGCGGAACTCCTGCACCCATCTAAAAGAATAGCAATAAAGTTTCTTGAAGTCACATGCCAGGAAGAAATTGAACAACAGGTTAGAAACACTACAACAAAAATATTTACAGATGGTAGTAAAGGTGAAAACGGAGTTGGGGCGGCCTTTGTAGTCCAGCCAACACAAGGTTCAAATATAACAAAAAAATATAAATTGCACGATACTTGCTCTGTTTTTCAAGCCGAACTGTTTGCCATTCTGCAAGCAACACATTGGATACTTGAAAGCAAAATTGTTGACAACGTAATAGTCTCTGATAGCAAATCCGGCCTACTAGAAATTAGCAACCCAGACACTACAAATTCAATAGCTGTTAAAATTCATCAAAATATAATCCGTACCCAAGCCCAAAATCAAAAAATTCGATTCATTTGGGCAAAAGCCCACAACAACATCCATGGGAATGAGCTAGCTGATGCAGCAGCAAAAGCAGCCACAAATTTATGTAAAGCCCCAGACTATGCCAAATTTCCAATAAGTTACATCAAGCAAATACACAAGAAAAATTTAACTTTAGCAACTGAAAACTATTATAATGAACCTTCAAACTGTACCTATCTCAAATCTTGGTGTCCAACATATGAAACACTCCAAAATGTTTTGGAGAAAATCAAACCTTGCTTCTACACTACACAAATATATTCGAATCATGGTTTCCATAAATGTTATCTACACAGGTTCAAAATAAGTTCTAACGATCAGTGTCCTTGTGATGGATACACACCACAAACTATAATTCACTTAATAAAACAATGCTCTAAGTTCGCTACAAGTAGACTAGACCATGAAATAACCTGTCAAAATCTAAGAATAAATAATATCTATAATTTAAGAGATATAGTTAAAAAAGAATCTACCACAAATACATTTATGAAACACGTAAAAACAATTATTAAGTCTTTAAAAAAGTTCAATTCAAACTTAACACAATAGAACAAATAATCGAATGTGATACAACTACCCTAAACAAATCAAACATCCTAAAGAAAAAATAAAATCTTTATTATATAACTGAAAAATATAAACAATCTAAATAGCGCATATTGTATACCAGAAGCATAATGCGTTATTTTAGAAAAAATCTAATTGCTGACAATAATTTAAAAAAAAAAAAAAAAAAAAAAAAAAAAAAAAAAAAACCTAACCTAACCTAACCTAACCTAACCTAACCTAACCTAACCTAACCTAACCTAACCTAACCTAACCTGAGCATGAGTGGTCTGATGGCGACAGTGTAGTTAGTGAGAACAGCAAAAGATCTAGCATACTGCCACCAGCGTACAGGAGAGCAGGCATCTCAATGGATTTGGCAACTCAAAGAGCGAACGAATTCCTGCTCTCCGGAAAAGAGGCTCTGGAGGAGGCAGGCAATATGAAGAAAGAATGTAAGAGTGAAGTGCATGACTGTCTTCAGGGCCTCTATGAGACTGTGCTGTCGCTGTCCGACTCACGCTCTAGACATCGGCTGGCGGTGGAGCAAGAAAGATCCCGGGCTGCTAAGGAGCTAGTTCGAATTGAACGGGCCCATAACAAACAATTGGCTGAAATTCAAAATTTACAATTCAGTAAAGTTGTGGAGGCTTAGGAGGCAATCAAAAGCACAGGCAAAGGCGTTGAGGCGATACGATCTTGGCTGAGCTACGAGATGGACGAACCAATAAAGGCGATAAGTAAAATCCAACTGGAAGTCCACGGATTAATTACTAAGACGCAGTCAACTTCAATAAGTGAAAAACCTACTACCCACTCTGAAAAACGCACAGAAAACTTTGCATTGCTCCTATCAAAAATATCCGAACTAAATCTAAATATAACAAACCTAAGTCAGGAGGTAGAGAAACTATCAAATAGGAACACAGACATAGAAACCACAAAACCGGTCCCAGAGCAGGTCATCACACAGCCGGATCCACGATTGGATCAGATAATTGCACATATTCAAGACACTAGAGAAATTATACAAACTTACAGATCTACAAATACACCAAGAGAAGAGATACAAAAAGAAGATCTAGAAAACCTAATCAAACCCATAACAAGCTTGCTAAAAACTGTATTAAATGAAATAAGCGATCTAAGGGACTGTAATACAACGCAAATGGCATTTCAAGCAAACAATGGACTTGGAACTGAACTCGCAATCACAGAGATTAAAGATAAGATAAGCGAATTGCAAAACATTAACAAGTTGAACACCTCTACAGAAGAAGCAAATAATCGAATAATTCAGGCAGAGCCAGCAAAAAGACTTACCTGGAGTAATACAAAATCCTACGCGGAAGTAACTGGCACTCCTCGTTATGCGATGATTGTTGAATCCATAGATCCACGGTCGACTTGTGATGAAATCTTAAAACAAGTCAAAAAGGATGTTGACCCTGTTGAACTCGGTATACGAGTAAATAAAATAGCCAAACTAAAAAATCAGCGAGTGGTAATCAACTGTGACTCCCAACAGGATAGACAGCTTTTAAAAACAGCCATCCGAGATACTTGTGACAGATTAACAGTATCCACGCCGTCAATCAAAAATCCCCAATTACGGCTAATAGGCGTCATAAACGACCTTGATGATGTAAAACTTGCCAGAGCCATAATAAGTCAAAACCGCAGCTTAATAACAGGTTTAACAGAGGACCAAAAAACCGTCAAGGTCATACGCAGGGCTAAGGGAAGAACTAAAGAAGTGATTAATGTCATACTTGAGGTTTCACCTCAAATGTGGACCAACTTGAAAAATCAAAAGTTGCGAATAGGCTATCAGGTTGTCCCATGTGTCGACCAATCACCATTGACACAATGTTACAAGTGCCTGAATTTTAACCACAAAGCTAAGGATTGTCGGAATAGTCTTTGTTGTGGATATTGTGCTGAGGGGCACGACACAAGAGAATGCGAAAACCGCAATAGTGCTCCCAAATGCTGTAACTGCATAAATGCAAAAAGGAGTAATATTCTGCACCCTGCATATAGTCCAGAATGCCAAGAATGGCAGAAATGGGATAAAATCTCAAGATCGTCTGTTTCATACTGCTAAGAAGCAGACAACGACAGATTAAATTTAAAGTGCAAGAGTCCCTCCGGCTCAAAACAAATCATTAAAGTAATGCAAGTAAACCTGGATCGCGGCCGCGCGGCGACACTTGAATGCCTACGTTCAGCCGTGACGCAGGGTTACGCAATTATTTTAATGCAGGAACCATATGTTGGTATAAAAGCTCATTTATCAGCGGGTTCCCAATACCGCATTATTCAGAAGGTAACAAACGATAGAGATAAACCGGTTAGGTCGGCAATAGTTGTCTGTGATCCAAAAATTCAATTCACTGTAAACCCTAATCTTCTTTCTGAAGACATAGTTGGCATTGAACTTAAAATTAATTATTCTAATATAGGCTTAGTTAGCATGTATTTACACGAAAATGCAGACCTTGAACAAGATTTACAAACAATCAAGAATTACATAGCAAATATGAATACTGATGACATCATTATTGGAGGGGACGCCAACGCACGCAGCATCTGGTGGGGTTGCAATGCAGACGACAACAGAGGGAAAGCTATTATGGAAACGTTAGCTGAGCTAAATCTGGACATTTTAAATTCGGGGACAACACCAACTTTCGTCGCTCATAGATTAGGAAAATTATGCACTAGCATCATTGACGTCACAGCCTGTTCTTCATCATTATTACACCGAATAAAAGACTGGAGAGTAGATAACCACCTTTGCACAATCTCAAACCATAGAGCAATATTATTTAACCTACATACAGAAAACATCAAAACTGAAATCACTACCGGAGGCACAAGGAGATACAACATTAAAAAAGCGAATTGGGAAAAACTAAAGAATGACATTAAAACAGAACTGCAAAAACAGAATATTGTAAAAAAATCAAATTGACGAAATCGAATCACTTCAAGAGTTAGAAGATATCACTGACAAATACACACAATGTATACTGGCAGCCTGCAACAACAGCATACCTCTAATTAAACAGGAAAGAAAAGCAAAAACAGCTTCTTGGTGGAACAAAGGGATACAAGATAAAAAAGTGATCATGATCAGGAAAAGACGAAGGATAAAAAACGCACACCCTGGAAGAAGAAAACATGTAGCAGACCAATATTTGGAGGCGAGACGTGACTACATCAACGCTATAGAAAATGCCACAACTACAAGCTGGGTAAATCTTTGCAATAAGGAAGAAAAGGAATCTATGTGGCAAAGAACATACAGAATCTTAAAAATATGTTCAAATAAAGAAGAGGATAAACTGCTTCGGAATTCCAGCGGCCGAACTCTTTCAGAGTTGGAATCAGCTAAATACCTCGCTGATACGTTCTATCCAGACGACAATCCAGACACAGACAATGAGGAACACGCCGAGATGAGGAATACAACGCAAAAAATTATAAAAAAGATCAATAACGAAAATATTCCCTCTCCAAATTTATTTACTCAAGACGAAATTGAACAAATTCTCAGGAACATGAATCCAAAGAAAGCTCCTGGAGCAGATGGACTACCATCGGACATTTGCCAAGCTGCGTTTGACAGCAACCCAGAGGTACTACTATCTATATATAATAAATGCCTGATAGTAGGTTATTTCCCAAAATTGTGGAAAAAAGCGACTATAAAGATTATACCTAAACCAAACAGAGAGGATTATACTCAACCGAAGGCATATAGGCCAATCGGGCTATTACCTGTGTTGGGTAAAATACTAGAAAAATTATTTGTTAACCGGGTCCAGTGGCAGCTTGGAAAAGAGAATAAATTGAACCACAGACAGTACGGCTTTACCCCACAAAAAAGTACTGAAGATGCCCTATACGACACGATGACTTTAATAAAAAAGGGACTAAACAGTAAATCCATTGTTGTACTGGTGTCGTTGGACATAGAAGGCGCATTTGATAATGCTTGGTGGCCGGCCATTGTCAATGAACTTCACTCCAAAAATGTTGAGGCATCTATGTTAAGGCTCATAAATAGCTATTTGTCAGAAAGAGAAATACACCTCAAGTACGCGGGGCAAGAAATTAAGAAACCTACAAATAGAGGCTGTATCCAGGGCTCTACATGTGGGCCAATGCTCTGGAATATCCTACTCGATCCATTACTGCAAGCAACGGAGAACTCGCAACCACATGTACAAGCCTTTGCTGACGATATTTTGATTATCGCCATTAACCAAGATGGGCAAAAACTGGAGGAATCCTTAAACCACACTCTTAAAATAATAACAGAATGGGGCAAAAACCATAAATTAAGGTTTGCTCCCCATAAGACTCAGTCAGTAATAATAACAAGAAAACAAAAATTTCATCAGCCTTTGCTAAAAATGGAAGAAGTTGAACTACAATACTCGGATCGACTAAAAGTTCTGGGCTTAACAATAGACAAAAATATAAATTTCAAGCCACATCTGGACAATGTTTGTCGCAAGGCAATTAATATTTATAAAATGGTCTCTAGAGCAGCGAGGGCTAACTGGGGCCTGAACTCAGAGATATTGAGAATAATCTATTTGGCAGTGGTAGAACCAACAATATTGTATGCTGCCAGCTGCTGGGCCGAAACCACAGAAAAAAAGTATATTGAACGCATACTCAACAGAATGACCCAGATTTTTGGTATACGAATCAGTAAAGGACATAAAACTAACTCCCTGATCTCCAGCACACTCTTATCTCAAATAATACCGCTAGCTCTAAGAGCGAAAGAAAACGCTAGTATATACGAAATTAAGAGAGGCAAACCTATAGAGCTTCTACCAGGAAGACAAATGGAAACAAGAATAGGCCCTTATGATCTACCACATCCTTGCGAAAGAAAACAACGTAATTTCAATCACATAAATAGCCAGAAGGATATTGACGAGATAAAAAACGATTGGGTTAGAATCTTTACCGACGGAAGCAAGATCGACGCAAAAGTGGGCGCAGCAGTAACAATATGGCACAATGGATACGAAATTAAAACAATAACTTTTAGATTGGAAAGCTACTGCAGTGTTTACCAAGCGGAGATGATGGCAATATATAGAGCGCTAAAACACATAATAAGCAAAAATTATTCAGGAGCAAATATATTCAGCGACTCAAGATCGGCAATCACAACCATCTGTGACCCAGCCTCCCTTAATCCAATAGCTTCAGAAATACGGAAAATAATCAAAACTTTAGAAGACAACCAAAAGCAAGTATTGCTTTATTGGATAAAAGCACATTGTGGAATACAAGGCAACGAAAGAGCAGATGAACTTGCTAAGCAAGCAGCTACAAAAAATAAGCAAAGCTCGGCTTATGACAAATTTCCATTGTCATATGCAAAGCGCCTCACCAGAAGCTCAACTCTGCAAACATGGCAACGGAAGTACGAACAGGCGACGACCAGCAGTATAACGAAGATGTTCTTTCCAAATATTGTTATAGCATATAAGATATTAAAAACCATAAAAATGAACAACTTAGTTACACATTTATTTACCGGTCATGGTGGAAACAAAGCCTATTTGTATAAATATAAATTGTCGCCATCCCCATGCTGCATATGTGATGAAAATGCAGAGCAAACAGTAGAGCACGTTGTAATAGATTGCCCACGTTTTGGGAAAGGAAGATTCGAAACCGAGTGCAGCGTGGGAATGTCGATAACACCAGAAAACCTAAAATGTATCATAGAAGATGATTATTGCCGACCTATTTTTATGAAGTTTGCCCTTATGGCATTAAAAATCATTAGCAAAGAAAATGGCAGCAAAATAATAGACTAATGTTTTTAATAACTTATAGATAATAAAGCAGATAACAATTTACAAATGTATGAAATAAAAATAAAAAAGGTTAATTTAAAGTAAAAGGAATGTAGTATGGAACAAGTACAAATAACATTTATTAAGTTAATATCTAGCTTAAACAAAAACAAGTATAATATGCAATGTAATAAATAAATAAATATATGTTATAAATATTAAATACTATGAAAAGCAACAATTCGTAAATAGCATAGCATTGTGGTCATGTAGACATAACAAGCTCTAAATAATATATGTTATAATACCTATAATAATATATAGATTTAAAAAAAAAAAACAACAAGTATGTTATATAAAGTAACAATAAGTAATATAAGCAACCAAATTGTAGCTACAATAGCGTTATAATAATAAAGAAGTAAGTTAAAAGGAATATTATACCTTATTATAGAGCTGTAACAAATAACAATAAAGAAAATGAAATAAGCAGCCATTATTAGAATAAGACCGCATGAACTTGTAGTAATTAAGACATTGTAATTAAACGTAAACATGTATAAAAAAAACAGAATGAGGCAGTACGGGAAAAAAAAACATATAGAGATATACATATATAAAAAAAAAAAAAAAAAAAAAAAGAAGAGTAAATTGTATAGTGTTGTCAATAACAGAAATAAGGGTACTGCAGAAAAGTAGTAGTTACAAAAGAATAAAAAAAAAAAAAAAAAAAACCAACCTAACCTAACCTAACCTAACCTAACCTAACCTAACCTAACCTAACCTAACCTAACCTTAACCTAACCTAACCTAACCTAACCTAACCCAATTACCTCCTAACCTAACCTAACCTAACCTAACCTTAACCTAACCTAACCTAACCTAACCCAGTTGCACTCCAAACGCCGTGCCGTACGCAGCAATTTTATATCGCTCCGCGCTTAAAAATCTAAAGTGTCGGGTCAAAGTGTTTAAATTTTAAAGTTTTATACATCGTTAGACGCGTCTCGTCGAGACGAAGTTAGTGATATAATAAAAAAGTGGTAAAAGTTTTATAGTTTAAAAGTTATCACCAAAAAACCGGATTTTATAACCTCCAAAACATTTATGGTGAAACGCTGCTCGATCTAGATCGAAGACCTATGGATTTTGAAGTGTGATAAGAAGCGCCTTGACAAGCTTAAAAGACTAAGCTAAATAGAAAAATTTTCCGGCGCTTGCGCACCGAAATATTGGGGAAGAACTAAAACCACGTGGCCACGTGCTTTTAGATAGGAGGCCGTGCGGCTGATTTTGACATCGGCATATCGAAGAGGACATCAAGGCAAAACGTTTGACGTGTCGATTGTCAAAATCGGGCAAGAAACACTGAAGTTATTACACAGTGAAGAAAAAATTTTTCAGCAGAAATTTCACAAGTGAATTCCTCTGAAATTTCAGCGACGACCTATGTGTTTTTTTGTGCTCATCTGTGTAAACAACTCAGGACCTAACAAAGGACACCAAAAACTTAAATTTTTGGAGTGCAATTAGACAAGTAAGAAATTTTTTATTATTAAGTGTAAACACGTGTTGTCCTGAAAGTGCTGCTGAAAATTCTGAAAAAATTCCATAAAATAAGGCATATTTAATCTTAGCTTCCCAAATTTTTTTCAAAATTTTTCATTTCATATTTTTCGAATTAGACGCCTTTTTGCGGTTATTGGTAATTGTAATTCGATTTTCAAAATTAAAAAACTTAAAAAATTTTTATAACAAAAATTTTTCCAAATTAAGTGTAGGATAGTCAATTTACTTAGCTATCTGCACTATTTTTTTCGGAATTTTTGAGGCAGTGCTTTCAGAGATAGGAATTTATTTGTAAGAGCTGGGAGGTTCTGAAAACTGCACGGTAACTGTGTTTTCAGTTTACAGGAAAACGGAGCCTCCTAGCTCAATTTTGACATTTTTTTCGGGGTCCCCCCCCGTCACCCCCCCACACTATCCAGTTAACGGATAGTCTTCGGACCCCACCGGATCATTTTGACCAAGTTTCATCCCCCTACCCCTAAGTTGACCTCTGGACTTGGAGACCTTGGACCCAAACTGTCTCTGGGGGATGAAAAACATCAAACACTAAATTATATTACAAAAACCGGTGGGACTAGTCGAACGGGGGTTTGTGTATAAATACTTAAATTTGTAGACGTCCAATCTGTATGTATATAGACTGTACATAGAGACATTTTATATATTTTTTTTTTCTTTTATATTTTATTTTTATATTTCATTTTATAATTTTGTTTTTAAAACTTTTTAATTTAAGTTATAGAATTTAACTTCTAATTGGTGGTGTACTTCAGGTAAAAACTCGATAGAGCCGGACTCTTGATAGAGCCGGGCCCTCGAGAGAGTCGGACTCTTGATAGAGCCAGACTCTTGTAGAGCTGAACTCTTGATAGAGCCGGACTCTCGATAGAGCCGGACTCTTAATAGAGCCGGACTCTTGATAGAGCCAAATTTTGTAGAGCCGGACTCTTGACTGGTAGAGTCAAGTATTGTTTAAATAATTTTATTTTACTTTTGATTTTATTGCTCTCTTGTTATCTGCCTACTAACACCACTTACAAAGAGACTCTACATAGAGTCATAAGGAGAGCTGGTAGAGCTGGACTCTACCTTATTTTATTTTTCGACTAGTTTTTAGTTCATAGCTGACACAGACCCCCCTTTACAGGGTCTAACAAACATCACACCGACCCCCCCTTTACAGGGTTACATAAGGACAACGTTCCCCGATCCTTACACAACTTACACTATATACTACT